TACTCACGTGGTGGTGGTTGGCATATGCACCTTTCGCATCCATCTGATCTTCTTTGGTAGCCATACTCACAGTGAATCCGACAATTTATATCCGGACAGGTTACGTCTATAAATCACGGTAATATACGTTAGGAATAATATCATTATCATCGTAGTCTTATTATTTTAATCATAATAATTATTATGCAATTGCTGTTATAGCTATTGATTACTGCTAATGTTTCATTTTAGCATTGCTATTATTATTAATATTATTATTATTATTACTGTTTTATTCTTTTGATAGACATCTACAAGGTTGTAAAAGGGTAGGCTACCTGGTGAAGTTTTACATTCGCATATTTCGCATCCATACTCGTCCAAGTCAAATCCAAATTCACACGCTTTATCGCACATATAAACTGGACAAAAGTTGCTGAACGAACCTCCATCAATATCTGTATCATTCAAAGATATATTACCTGTGAAAAAAATATAAAAGCAATATTTTAATAAAATCTAAAATGGCAAGATTTAAAATAATTAAGTTATCAACTTTTAATATTATATTTTAAATAATTTATTAAACAGTATTGTGTGATTATAAATATAAATTCAGTTATAACTGAATAAACAGTTTAGAATAGTATAGTGATACAGTACAGAAATTTCAAGTTAGACTTAGGCCTGTGTAAAGAAAAGGATATATGCAGACATTTACAGGTACGGTTTATAATTATCAATTGCTGATTGAAAATCGCAATATTTTATTTCGGGAACTGTGTGATATATGTATAAGAAAATATTTTTCTCGTTCTAGTTTTCATTTGAAATTTATCGCGCCAACAATGTCCAGTCATTAAAATATTAATGTTTCGGCATAGGGCTTTTAGTTTTTAGCTCAGCTATAAGTGGTGTATTAAGAAATAGTGGCGTAACAAAGAAGTCTGAGACCTCCACCCATTTAGTTATCACAATGTGCTGTTATAGGCAGTAGGTCTATAATACTCACGTGGAGGTGGTTGGCATATGCACCGTTCACAGCCATCTGATCCTCTCTGATAGCCATACTCACAATAAATTCGGCAATTAATATCCGGACAGGTTACTTCTATAAATTTTAGTAATTACGATTACTTTAATAGGTGTAATATCATATACTGTATA